GATCGTGTTTGATTCTCAGTTTATTCTGAACTTGCCAAGATTAAGAAAGGCAAAAGAGTTTGGGTGTTTCAACAAGATTTCAGAACGTTGCAGAAGTTAGAAAATTCATTCAATGTGAAGTTAGAAAATTCACAATTCCATTGTGACAGCATGCCCTAATTCAGAACTGCAAACGATCCATGACGATCCTTCGCGATGCAGTGGTCTCATGAAAAAAGGAAACGTATTCGTGCTGGGAACACATGCGGATTTCGGACGAATTATTTTGTAGATAATAATACTTTGTTTCATAATAAACAATTTGTCAAGTGTCATTTATTTACTGGTAATAGTGCATGTTTCAGTCGGGCAAATCTTCATTAAATACGCCGTTTTTTGCATATTTCAGACACATCCAGAAATATGCTCCCGATTTTAAACATTAATATCTTTGTGAATTTTTAAGTGAAATACAACTGTAATATATCAAAATCTAAGTTAGTCATTCCTCTATTTGATGCAAGTTATTTCTCATTGAAAGCTTTACCTGTTTAGAAGTTATTACGAATCAAACCGGAGTACTTTTTTTTGGGACACCCGGTATATATATATATATATATATATATACATATATATATATATATATATATATATATATATATATATATATATATATATATATATATATATATATATATATATATATATATATATATATATTACAAAGAAAATTTAAATTTGAGTTATATATATATTACAAAGAAAATTTAAATTTGAGTTCCCCTCAAGCATACTTAAAGTTAATTTTCAGGTGTTAAAATAAAAAGAGTACAAACTGTGTTTGAAAGGTCCTTAGTTGGTCTTAATGTTTGCATTTAGATTGCTTAAAGCAATGTCTGTCGAGTCCAATGTGTGTTGATATCACGGAGTACGAGAACCTCGAACACATAGAATAAAGGCTCTTATTTGGGCAAAACAAATGTTCGTACGAAGCCAATTCATTGCCACTCCAGAAGGAACACTTTTCTTCGTCGATAGTCGCTCCGAAAGTATATTCAGAAAATTATAAGTTTCACGACTACAACCACCATGCGCGCTGAATATTAATTAATGGTGTGAACGAGGCATGCTCTATCTATATACAGCGTTGATTGTATTGCTGCCGTTTTTTCTCCCTTCATTACTTGCGAAGGCAGCATTCAGGCTCCGGTTTAGATGTGTCTTGGCATAAGGATTAAAAATCCTAACGTCAAAGAATGCCATTTCGCATCTTTCCCAGAAACCTCTCGCAGCTACATCTAGGCGGGCATCATCAGCACTATTCGAGCCAGATGGAAGATTTTCTCCTGTCAGGGGCGTGAGGGACGGGGTCAAACCTACATGGAATTGAGTTTATTTATACACACATATTTGTAAAAACAAGTTTATTAACATTTTGTTTAGTTATTTAAGCAAATTCGCCGCCGATATATGTAGTAACGTTGTCGCTGTAGTAGGCTATAGGCCTATTCTCGCTGTATTACTTTATCGCTTATTGACAATTTTTTGTTACAGAATTGTTTTGTTCGATATAATAAAACTCTTATTGGATTCATCTTCGCCCAATATGGCAAAATATTAAGTCTCGACTTCAATATTAGGCTCGACCTTCGGTCTCGCCCAATATTGAAGTTTCGACATTTGCGCAAATAATCTTAGATGCATAGCTTCACCAAATTCAAACTTGAGAATGAATTGTGTGCTATAATCATGAGTGACGAAAGCTACAAAAATGCTAATTACAAAAAAGTGCGTTTAATTAAAAAAACTTTTCGCGTTGTGCCTGTTCCAAAATTACGGATTTTCCGCGAAATTGACGCACAAAATTTCAATTTTGAAATTCAGGTTTAAACCGATTATCGTCATGCAAATTTCGACACAAATTAAAGTTGATTGTGTTTAAACGTATTCGATGTTGGTTGGTAGCGGCACTTTTTGCCTATACTGCATATTTTAATTGGAATCGTCGTCATAGTCTAAACAGCCGTAAAAACAACACGGCATATTATCAAGTCTGAACAATTGCAAAAGAGCTAAAAGCGACCGCACATGTTTTTATTACTCTATACTTAATAATATGAAGATTCAAATAAATTAATGTGATTACTTTACTTACGAAGATTCGAATAAATCGTATGGTGCAAAATAAGCTAGTTGATGTCTTAAATTCCTTTAAACTTTCTGGATGTTTCTGATTATGTGTTTCTCCCATCACTTTTTCTAATGTTTGTTTTTCTGCGCAATTCAAATACAAATCTAGTGTTTTATACCAATATTCTTTAGAGAAAATGGGCCAGCTGTCAAGCTCTTCAGCCTTCTTGTTTTCACTTCGCAACAAGGATGCTTTGGAACCATTCAAGTCATTAGTCAGACCTGATCAAGAGCATTTGGCACTATATCTCTCTCCGATTGCAGGTCCAGCTTTCGGCGGCAAACACGGCGAAGAATTGCAAATTACTCCTAGGCCAAAGATTATTCCTTGTTATGCAAAATTTGGTAAAGTATTCACGCTTCCTCCCGGCTACACATACGATTCAGCTGAAACAAACGCGCTACTGGGAGGAAAGGAATATTTTCATCCAAGCGAAATAGAGACTTACTACCTTGTTGTCAATTGATGGTAACGTTTTATAGATATCCTCTGACATTATTTAGAATACGTCAAGAGTATAAGTAAAACTTTTTACAAAATGCTTTCATAAAGCAAATCGAAAGCATGCACAATTATAACAATCGATATTTAGAGTAATGGTAAAAAAAACCCCGCAAAAAAAGTTTTCTAACAGTTTCTGTGTGCCGATAATAATATTTAAAAAACGATTAATATCGTGGAATTTTTTTATATACTAACTTATATATGCAATTGTAATTGTAATAGTTACACTATACAGCTTTACCACGCTATTCCAAGGGGGTGTTTCGGTGTGAAATTTCTTTGTGCAACGCAATTCGCGGTACGTACATAGGGCCATGTTATTTAAAAAAGAATCGCAGAAAATTGCGAGCATGGCCCAAGCCAAGCTTCACTCCGCATCGACATTTTTCCCTTTTCAATTATTTTCATCCCTGGCAATATTATCCATCATGCAGGCCTAGAAAATATATTTCTCTTCCTGCAAAATATGCACCATAAACAAAATTTTTTTCTGTAATTCAAATATAAAACTTCCTGTGTATATGTATAGATTTCAGAAGACGTACATGGTGCCGCACATCATGGTAATCTCGACTTGCAAAACAGTTTTGTAAACAATTAAGTAAATTATATGGCATACGATATAAGATGACAAATATTAACATGCAAGATCTAAGAAGATTCTCTGCGAAGATATTTTGTTAAAATTTACTAGCAGCCGTGCTTTTATAGCACTGCCGGACATTCTCCAGCATTGCTATTCCTTAATTTAAGAGTATGTTTATGTAAAAAGCGTCGGATTGCAGAGTAGAATTCGGGTCATGCATGCTCCCAGATTCCCTGTGACTACTTTTTTAATAACGTGGCTCTGTATTCTAATTGCCCTGCAAATTGCGACAAATTGAAAATTGCCTCGTATAACATGAACTTAACTCAATTCAAGTTTCAATATAAAGTATATACATCCTGCTTAACTACTCCTAGTCGCATGATATATCCAGTGAGCTCCATCGGCATGGCTTTGCGGGTATAAATGTTCACATTCAATGCAAGGGACGAAGTTTATTAAAAGACAGTATCGGTGGCAATGCACTGATAGAAGGGGTATCAGTTATGATAGACTACGAAGGACAAACTCAATGGTAAGAGTTTTTTCAATATATTATAAATAATTGCTTCCTTCTGTAATTATATTGTTATTATAAATGCATACATGATATAGCTCGATATATAATTGAGGACTTAGTAATAAGATAGACACAATACGTCTTCGAGAATACAAAGATAGCCATTGTATGCTATTGTATCGCTTCCCACCCTTCTGAATACATTTAAAATCGCAAAACTGTCTTGTTGATTCTGATTTTTAAAATACATGCAGTATTTGCACTCGGCAAAGTCGTGCTGCCTTCGGATTTCGCCGTGAATTGCGGTCAAGCCTCACTTCGCCCACACAACCGCGATTGAACCTCGGGCGATCCGAGGTTTAACCGTGGACGAACCGCAGTTGACCCGAGGTCGAACCTAGGAGGATCCGCGGTTAAACCACGTCGACCCGCGGTTAAACCGCGGCGAACTTGCGAACTTATTTCTAGGCAGTACTGTACGTCCGAATACGCACAAAATTTCAGCTCAGTAAAAAAATGTTTCTGTCTCGCCGGAGTGCCAGCGTATGCCACCGTATGTGACCGTGCTTGAAACTTATACTACAACCTGTGTGTCTATAATCCACCGGGTTATTTACATTAACCCAGGGAAATAAAATCATTAGCGAAGTTTAACGTTCATCAGTGATCGCGGGCGCGTGACTATGGTTCATGGATGTTGTGTGTGGGCACTGATCTCATAAATACGACTTTTTGGAGTGGGATAAGCAAGATTTTAATTTTCGAAATATATATATATATAATATATATATATATATAATATATATAATATATAGGAGTAGGTTTGTGTATACGAAACGCAAAGAGTGCTCAACATCATAAAGATAGAGCAAATGTACAATTTTCGCTTACCTCAAAATTCCGCAACAGTCTGTTTCATCAGTAAAGAATTATATATATATATATATATATATATATATATATATATATATATATATATATATATATATATATATATATATATATATATATAT